AAGCTCAAGGTCATCCTCAGCTCTCAGTTACACAATGTGTTCAAGACCACCCTGGACATAGGAGACTCTGTCCAAAAAAATAAGTATTCTTTGGTGATTATTTTAAGATGGGGTCTCACTAATTTGCCCAAACTGGCCTTGATCTTACTCTGTAGCCCACAAAGACCAAAGACCATGAACCTGTCTGTGATCCTCCTGACTCAGCCTCCTGAATGGCTGGGATGACAGGCCTGTGCCACCAGGCTAATCATTAGTAACTGTTCTTGCAGCTGGAAGGTTATCAGCCGTGTAGGTCGCTAGTTGGAAGCCAGCTTCCCAAGGGCAAAAGTGTGTGAGGTACAGCTTGTGGCCTACCTAGGAACTGTGCTAAACCAACCACAACATGATAAAGGCTAGAAACGGAGACAGAGCCTCTGCTCTGAAAAGCACAGTCCTTGAACTCTCCCGGGTCTGTCAGCACTGCGAGGATCCCCTTATAGTTATCAGGGGCCACCCCATTCCACACAAGCTTTTGAACCCCACAGAGCCACCCCGTCTCACCCTCCTGCAAATCCAGCCTCTTTTTTTTCCCCTCCTCCACCTGCATGATGGGTATCTGCCCCTCGCTCCCCTCCAGTTGGAAAAGTACCCAGAATCACTAAACCTGGTGCAGGAATAAGCTCAAAATTAAACCTCAGCAAAGTGTTTCTGGGGTAGTTTTTAAAAGAGCAGAAGAGAGCATCAGATCTGCTGGAGCTGAAGTTAAAGACAGTTGTGAGCCATACAACATGGGTGCTGGGAACAGAACCCAGGTCCTCTGCAAGAGCAGCAAGTGTTCTTAACTACAGAGCCATCTCTCCAGACCCACGAAAGTGTTTCCTTTTTTTAAAAAAAATTATCTTATTTTTAATTATGTGTATGTGTCTCTGCATAGGTGCATGCACATGTGTACGGGTGCCTAGGAAGGCCAGAAGAAGGCAACAAATTCCCTGGAGCTGGAGTTACAGGAGTTATGAGCTGCCTCTAGTGGATGCTAGGACGTGAACTCTGGTCTTCTACAAGAGCAGCACCCACTCTTAACCACTGAGCCATCTCTCCAGCCCCAGGAAAGTGTTTCTTATGCCTGCTGTTATCAATGAACTGCAGGGGAATCTACCCAGATGAGGCTAGTGTACCTGCTGGTCTCTGTGGCCATGGGTACCCAACCCACAGTCTACATGCCCTGCTGTTTGACCTCAGGCTTCTTAAGACAAAGACTATCCTGTTGACCAAGAACTTGACAGAGCTCTGCCAACAATCCAAGCTTCTTAAATAGTTGCCCAATGAGCAACTAAAAATTGAAAGAAAAAAAAAAAAAAAAAACCCTCATGTGCCAGGGCACGCAAATCCCAGCACTTGAGAGGCTGAGGCAGGAGGATGTAAAGTTTGAAGCTAATCTGAGCCACACAGAAACGACTCTGTCCCTCCCTCCTCACAACAAGGCTTAGGAGACAGAGGAAGGCAGGCCCATGAAGAAACAAGGTAAAGGGGGATGGAATGGAGGCCCTTTTTTACATTTATTTATGTACATGTATGGGTGTACACATGCCATGGTGTGTGTGGAGGTCAGAGGACAACTCGTAGGACTCATTTCTCTCCTTCTACCATGTGGGTTCTGGGGATCAATGTCAGGTTGTCAGGCCTGGTGGCAAGCACCGTTACTCACTGGGAACATAGGACTGAATGCTCCAGCAAGCTTCCCACTCTATGAAGGCTGCTCAACCCTGGTGCTCTCCCCATCACACCACCAAACATACCCCTCCCTTTTTACAGTTTTCATGTCATAACTTGTTTCATGATACCAGCAGCATCAGATGACAGAAGTAGGTGCTTGGTCATCCAGGGAAAATTACCCAATTTTCAATTCCCCTTGAACTTTGCTTTTCTCTTCTTATGCCAACCTCTCAGCCATCTCTCTGCCCTTTAGCACCAGGACCACAGGAGGGGTGGGAAAGAAGGAAGGAAGGGGAGGAGAAGAAAGGAAAGGGGGGAGGGAGGGAGAGAGGGAGAGAGGGAGGGGGGGAGGGAGGGAGGAAGGGAGGAAGGAAGGAAGGAAGGAAGGAAGGAAGGAAGGAAGGAAGGAAGGCACAGCTCAGTGGGGCCTTTTTAAAAGGTGAACAGCAGTCCTAGATAAATAACTCAGAGGAAAAGAGCTAAGGAACGCATTAAGTTTCATCGGTCCTCACTCCATGGGCATGAGAAATCAGCTTAAGAAAGAAATGAAGCCAAGAAAATAAATAGCCCGTTATAACAGTCAACCAGAGTTCTCAGCACAAACCAGAGGCCACTTCCCTGAAGGAAGGCATCCATCAAACTCTTCACATTTTTTTTAATTTCTTCTGGTCAGTTTAGAAGATTGCAGCTGCTATCCCTGAGTGAGAAATGTCTCCATAACTCTGCTTCTGTTCACATTTAGCTATACCTGGGGTGATGGGCAAAATGCATTATCAACTCAGGGAAACTATCGCTATTCAGACACAACTTTTCAGACACTAAGAGTTCGAGAACATCTTGGAATAAACCTTGATCTCCAGATGGAAACAAGATTCACAAGTTAACAAACCAATCAATAACAGGCTTTTCTGTTGTTGTTGGCCCGGCACATGTATACACACACACACACACACACACACACACACACACACACACATACACACACACAAACACACAAGAAAATACCTTCCATATGGTTGTTCCCCAAAGAGTGAGGGAAGATTTGGGTGAGGGGCCACCCCATGACACCAAGCACCCCACCTGACCTCGTTCCTGAGCCAGGGCCAGACCATGATGATGACTCCCCAGTGCTCCCACTTCCAGCAATTGACCACGGGGACAGAAGAGAGCTTGGTAGTGGGAGGAAGGCAAAGGAAACAGACCCAGAGGGCAAAATTATACCCTTTCTTATCTTTTAAAGCCCTTTTGGCTCAGTTTAGGGGCTGGAAACGAACTCAAACTTTCCCCCAGCTCTGAGGGCAATCTTAATGAGATTGTCATTCCACTACTAAGAGAATATGACACACAAGGCCATCACCTAAGATAAAGGTGAACTCTTCTATCTGTGGCCGCATGACACATCCAGGTGAGAACCTAACAGGAACACCAGACTTAGAGGACAACAGAACATTAACCAGGGCACAAGCAAACATGAGCAAAATCATTCAGTAGGGACATAGGCTCAACGTTTTCCTTTGTTCTGTCATTTTTCAGATCAGGTGGTTGAGGCAGCACCTTGGCTATGCAAGTCTACTGAAGTCACTAATTCCCTCACCCAGGTCAGGAAGCACACTCCCCAGGGCAGGAGCACACATGGAGACAAGCCAGCCACAGCCTTAAGGCTCTCGATAGCTTTAGGAAAATTCCCCACATTGTGCAAAAGCCAGTGTCTGTCTCTGTGTCTCTGTCTCTCTGTGTCTCTCTGTCTCTGTCTCTCTGTCTCTCTGTCTCTCTCTCTCTCTCTCTCTCTCTCTCTCTGTGTGTGTGTGTGTGTGTGTATGTGTGTGTGTGTGTGTAGGGGGGAGGGACCTCCAAGAGCTCAAGGGCTCACCGGGTCCTAAGTATGTTCCTTTCTTTTCATGAGATCCCTTCCATGGTTTCCCTAAGAGGACAGCCCTGTATTACACCTTGACCACCGCCGGGACTTGAGGTTTTAGTATCCACACTCCGACCTCCTAGGCAGAACGTGCCTCTGGAAATATTTACCGTAAACAAAGAGTTAGGAACAAAGGGAAGTTGGTTTTTCTTAAGGCACCACCTAAAGTCCCCTCAGGTGGAGAGAGGGTAAGTAGTCGGGCCGGCGAATTGCTTCTCCAGGGAGCCTCTCGGCTCATCTGAGATCCAAACGCCTCAGCAGAGCATCTCAAACCCGGATGCACGGAAGGACCACCTGGGGAGCTTTTAAACGTCCCACAGTCCGCACCCCTGGTACCCGGAATCGGGGTATCTGCGGATGAGACAAAGGCGCCAGTGTTTTTGTGGGGATTTTTTTTTTTTTTTTAAATCTCTCCAGGTGTGTAGCCCAGTTTACGAGCCAGGTCCCCTTTAAAGGAATTCCCACCGTGTTTGGAGCAGGTACGCCGCTCGGGCAGGGCACTTAGCGTGAAGGGTACCCCTGTAGTAAAAACTCAAAGTTCTTTTAAAATTCTGTGTAACTAATTCCACCACGACAGCCAGGCACCTGTCCGGAAGCCAAACAGTGATGCAACTTGGACAAGTCTCTCCGAAGGCTAAGAAATGTGCTCTCGTGTAGCAGAGGCTTTCGGGGTGAGCCGCCGGGAGCGTGCAGTGGTGCGCAGGGCCAGGACTGGGGGCCCAACATTTCAAAGCATTCTCAGTGTTTTCAAGGAGCACGGCAGGGCAGGGCGAGGAGCGCGGTGCTCCGTGTGGACCGCTCGCAGCTGTCACCGGTTCGCCGCCAACTGTCCCGAGAGCAGGGCACCGCGCAGGAGGCAGGAGCGCACCTCCCAGCCCCGGGACTGGGCGCCGCGCCCGGATCGGAGGACGCACGCCAGGGCTGAGCACGGCGCAGCCGGTGGAGCCCGAGCCCTGGGATCCCCGGCAGCACCTCGGCCCACGGAGGCCCGGCTCCCGCACACACCCCCGCGCCCGCCCGGACCTCACTTACCGCCACCGCCTCCCGGCTCCCGCTCGCGCTGCAGCCTGCAGAGCCGGCCCGAGTACAGCCGCCCCGCGGCCGCCGGAGCCCCGCCCCGCCCTGCAGCCGCCGGCCCTCCCAGAAGGAGGAGCAGGACCCGCCGGAGTCCGGACCCGCCCGGGCTGCCCCGGGCCCGCCTGGGCGCTGCTGCCCCGCGCCCCTACCACCCTCCAGTTCTCGGCCCGGGGCGCCCTCTCTGCGCCCCCACCAGCACCTCTCCCCACCCCATCTGCAGCCCCAGCTTCACTCTCTCACCTCTTCCCCACCACCCCTCCTCCAGGAAGCCTTCCTTCCCTGTTCCTAGCCCCACCCCAGTCTCAGTTTCCCTCACCCTTCCACGCGGCCTGGTTCGCCCCATCCGGAAACAAACCACCCTGGTGGAAGGGTAGAGGATTGGCATCCATCTGCAAACCACAGCTTTTGGCCTGCCTGCCGGGAGGCAGGGAAGTGACTGGCCTCAGGTCAGTGCTGTTGGGAGCAATCTCAGGCCCCAGTTTTGGTCCAATCCAGAGAAAACTGCGCTCGGTCACTAACGGTGAAAGCCGGGGTGGGAGGAAGTTGCCATTTGGGGGCCTCAGTTTCCTCAGCTGTAAAAAAAAACAGGACGTCCGCTCCACCTTGACATCCCGGAGGAAACGGCTGTGGAAATGTCACGTGGCCTGCAATATTTTAATAAGTGTTTGTTGACGTGTTGTATAAGATCGACACTCAAAAATTCAGTTATTTAAACGAGCAACGTGGAAGGACCTCAAAAAGAAAAGCGATTTCTCTGGCGGAAAACGAACAAACAACAAAAACAGCCACAGAAGAACCGTCGCAGGCCGTAGGGACTGGAGACTTGACTTGGCCGTGTAGTGCGCGAAGTAGAGTGGAGAGGACCGCCGTCTCCTCTAGGAACCGCTCACCCTCTGGTTTCCATCAGTCTCCCCTGTTCCTTCTGACGCCTCCCACCACCCTTCCCTTTCTCCCTTTGGTGAGCCCTCCACTTCCAGTAACACGGCCTGAAACTCCAGCTCCAGGCGATCTGATGCCGTCTTCTGGCTTCCCCAGGCACCCAGGCACCAGCACGCACAAAGACACACATACTCAGAAACAAAAATAAATCTTGTTTTCCAAAAAAATAGTGAGTCCTTGATAGGAGAAAAAAAAAACAAAAAACAAAATTTGCACTTAAGAACCTAAAGGGGGCAGCCAGTATCCCTGGGCTCCTTTTAGGGGCCTTGCTTCTCCAGGGACTGTTGGTTTGCTAGAGTGGCCAGCCCACACACAGCCTGATGTGACTGAGGAAAGCTATGAACACAGCCCAACACAAAACAATAAACTTACATAAAGCATTGAGATTTTTGGTGTGATTGTGTGTGGGGTTTTTTTGTTTTGTTTTGTTTTGTTTTTTGGTCTTTTTGAGACAGGGTCTCCCTGTAGCCCCAGCTGGCCTGGAACTCACTATGTAGACCAGGATGGCCTCGAACTCACAAAGTGCTAGGATCAAAGGTGCGTCCTTGGTGTGATATTTTTAAAAACTCAATTGCTAGGTTCTCATGTGCTGTAGATGACAAAGCCCCATGTGAACATGTTGGGGCTGTGTCTTCTTGCCTGGCAAAGGCATCAAGTACCACAGGCCGGGACTCAGGGTAGCCAGGTCACAGACACCTTAAATGCGGGCAATGGAACTTGCACCCAGATGACCCTGAACACCTAGCTTACACTTTGAAGATGTGGTGAATTGGGATGGCAGAGAGCTCAGAGGGCAGCACTGAAGGAGTGATAGTGTACTCAAGGCTGGGAAACCAGCCAGGAGAGGCAGGCAGAAGACAGTCATTTATATGGTGGTGAGGATGTGCCTGAGGAGAACATGGAGCAGCCAATAGTGCCTGAGATGAGATCTGTGTTTGGAACTATGAGCAAGAGGCTGCCTTAATTCGAGTTATTCTGGAAGTGGAGCTTTGAGACAGGACTTGAAAGCGGGCGGTATAGTTAGGAGGTGACACCAGGATGTAGGGGTGGGGGAACAAGAAGAGTGAGGCAGGGAAGGAGGGAAGGCCAGTGATAGCATCTGCTCATGAGCCTGAAGCGCTGTGCAGTGAGGACCCCATACACTCTGGACCTCCTAAGAGGCATGTCCTGTGCCCCCCCAGAATTAACAACCAGGGGATTATAGGGTTTTCCCAAGACTCTGGTGAAGACTGCTCCAGGGTGCCTTGCCCCAACTCTGGGCTACACCTCCCACTCCACTCCAGTCTTGAGAGGGCTCCTTGGGGCACAAGTACTCGCTTGAGGGAGCCAGCGGCAGAGCATGTCTGTTTGCATGAAACATTTTGCACATAGGACTTCCCCCCTGCCAGGCACCAGCAGTGCCCATGGCTCCCCAGCATAAGGCAGCCAGCATTTTCTCCTGGCACAGTCCCCAAACCTCACCCCAAGCTGGCACAGTGGAGTGACTTGCAAAACTCTGCCTCCTCATGAACAGCTTTCCCCAGAGGTCAGATCTCAGCCAGTTCCACGGCATGCCTCCTGTGCGCTTCTCTCCTCCATGAGCCCTCGCTACAGGTCTAAGAGCTGGGGAAGGGGGACATGCCTTGGGTGCTCAGCCTCATGTCTATACCATACATGCTTCTCATATGAGGAGTCTCAGTCTTATGGGTGAGGGAGATGACTCAGTGGGTAAGAGCACTTGCTGCACAGGCATGAGGGCCTGAGTTCAATCACCAGCACTCACATAAAAAGCCAGCCGTGGCCATGAGTGCTCCTATAACCCCAGTGCTGGGGAAGGTAGAGACAGGGATTGCTGGAGCTTGCTGGCCTAGCTCTAGGTTCACAGAGAGACCCTATCTCAATGGCATAAGATGGAGAGTGATAAAGCAGGACATCCGACAACCTCCTCTGGCCTCCACAAGCACATAGGAGGGCACACCCCACACATATGTACATACACCAAACAGAAATACATACACGACTAAGTCGCAGCCAATTTCTGCTGCATGGGAGGCTGAGACAGGAGGATCACTTGAGCCCAGGCATTAAAGCCAGCCTGAGCAATAGAGCAAGACTCTGTTTCGGAACAAAAAAAACTACTCAGATTTTTTTTTTTAAAGATTTTTTATGTATGAGCTGGAGAGATGGTTCAGCAGTTAAGAACACTGGCTGTTCTTGCAGAACAGACCCGGGTTCAAATCCCAGCACCCTCGTGGTAGCTAACAACTTTTATTATTATAAAAATAATAAATAAAAATTTTTAAAGATTTTTTATTTATTTTATGTGTCTGAATGTGTTATCTACATGTCTGTAAATGCACCCATGTTGTACAGTGCCCTCAGAGGTCAGAAGAGGGTACTGGATCCCCTAGAACTGGAGTTAGGGACAGTTGTTAGCCACCATGCGGGTGCTGGGAATCAAACCTGGGTCCTCTGCAAGAGTAGTCAGTGCTCTTAACTGCTGAGCCATCTCTCCAGCCCCAAAACTACTCAGTTTTAAACTATCACTACAAAGTATTGTCTCCTACAAGAAGTCAGGAGGCTAGAGAACTGGTTAAGAGCACTGACTGTTCTTGCAAAGGACCGGGGTCCGATTCCCAGCACCCACATGGTGGCTCACAACTATCCATAACTCCAGTTCCAGGGGATCTGACACCCTCTTCTGACCTCCGTGGGCACTGCACAACACAGGTGCACTTACACACATGCAGGCAATACACTCATACATATAAAATAAAAACAATGAACAAAACATTTTTAAAAACCAGAAGTATGAGGGGAAGGGACTTAATACATCAAATAAGAGCATTAAGTTTCTGTTTGAAGTTCGTTTGAAGTTCTAGACTGTATAAGGCCATCCACCTTGCTAGATCTTCCCTTCGCCTACAGAAAAACTGAACCGCTTGGCAGTTTCTCAAAAAATCCTACAAAATTAGCTCAGATTGTTAGAAATCTCCATGCCCTTGCTGACTCAAGGGCCTGCTCAAGGTTAACCTCATCTAGAATGTTCTTTCCTCCTGCTCTAGTCTTTAAAGCTCTGGCTTCCTTTGAGAAAGCCACCTCTGTCCTCCCTTTTCACTTCCTGGGATGTTTTAGCATAATTCTTAACTGAAGGGACAGGGTCAGGCTCTTCCTTGGCTCTCAAGCCACTAGACAACTGTTGGTCAGTGCACAGAGGGAGAGGTGCGACCTGAGGAATAGTCAAAGGTCCCAGGTGACCTCAGAAAAACAGCTGTGTTCCTGTGTCATGCGAAGGGAAGAAGCTGAGGATGTCAGAACACAAGCATGTCCTGGGGGAGGCAGAAAGAAGGAGACTGTGTCATTTATGTTGTTATTTACTCTAGAGGTGGGACATCTTGATCACAAAGTTAGGATCCCACAAAGAGGAATGACGTTGCTTAAGAGAAAAAGCCTCAAATAAGTCTCCATGTTGCTCCACCAAGATCAACTGTAGGGAACACAGATTTCCTGCACAGATATTTCAACTTTCAGAGTAGATAAGAAACCAAGAGAGAACAAATTGGAACATCAAGGGATTCAGCATGGTCAAACGTTTTGTTGATTGGTTGGATACAAGCAAGGCCTACCCTTCTAGAAGCTTGGCTGCCTTTCTTACAGGCTCAAGAATGAGGGCAGAAATGTTGAAGTTCAGTCAACTGACAGAGGGAAGGATGGGTCTTGAAACAGAGAAATCTTACAACCATCATCTCCTCAATCATCCCCAAACCAACAGATACCAACCAATAAAGACACATTCGTTAAAAATCATCCTAGTGTGTTCCTGACTGTATTGAACAGGACACAAGTCCCTTTTCCATTGTGCATTGACCAAAGCCAGGACAGCTCAAATTCCAAGACTGAAAACAAAACCTTAAAGCATTTCATTTCTTTTCCTTTCTTTCTTTTTTTCCTTCCTTCCTTCCTTCTTTTTTTTTCTTTCTTTTCTTTCTTTCTTTTACTCTCTGGGTTACATTAACCATTCTTTGGGTTGAATTATTTGGTCATGAAGGCAGTACTGAAAGACTCTATTCAGACCACCTGGGCAGTGTGCAAGACAAAAACTCCAGTACAAATGCTTTCAGTGGTTAGTCTGTGGCTTTGTTGAGCTCGGACTGCCAAGGCTATATAGCAAGAACCTTTGTCCAGAACACATTTGTCCTCAGATGTGTCTAAATCGAAAAGAACAAGCTGGGACCATTTGGTGGCCAGGCCTGAAATAATGCAAAGTAGAGTTTAATTTGGCTTGCACAGGTAAACCAAGGTCTCCTATAGCTCAGGCTAGCCTCTAATTTGTTATGTAGCCAAGGATGATCTTGAACGTTTGCTCCTACTGCTTCAACCTCCCAGGTTCTGAGACTATAGGCATGTATAATCTCACCTGGTTTTATGTGGTACATGTTACAACTGACCTATATTTCCATCTCAGGTCCAGCCCCAGCCAGGTCCAGCTTATTTTCATAGAACCTAGTGCAAGGGCTGTGAGCTGGTCTGCTCTAGAGTGTTGATAGGTGGGTGATTTCTGCAGTTTACAGCCCTGATGGTCATGGGGGTTAATGATCTCAGTAAAACCAGATTTCTTGAGCAGTCTAAGCAACTTCACAATGTTTAAATTTATGGACAGCCCCAGGAGGTAAATGTTCTTTTTTGTTTTGCAACATCAGAAACAGAAGCCAGGGCACACATGCACAGCAAACACTCTATCACCAAGCTATGCCTCAGCCCACAATGAAGATGTTCTTATACCCACCTTACAGATAACAGAGTTGAGGTTCAGAAGGGCTTCCCCACTCGTCCAAGATCACATCCTTAATAAGTAACCAGAGGACCAGAGGTTGAGACCCTGGTCTGTCTAGACCCTGGTCTGCAGAGCCAGAGCGAAACCGAAGAATCCCAGAGCCCATTCTTCCTCATTTCAGACCACATTTGTCTTCTGTTCCATCCACAGCTCCCTGCTGGAGGCTGAGGGGAACTCAGAACCTCAAGCAGCCATGGGAGTCTCAGGATGGGTGTATCTGTGCGAGTCTCCCTCTGTGTGCTTCAGGCTAGCAACTAGGGAAGATAGTGACTGCCTTCTGGGAGCCCTGCCCTGTGACATCAGAACAGCAGTGATCTGTCCCCTTGTGCACCTGATATTTCATTCTCCCACAGTCCCAGGTTCACTTCTGTGAAATTCAAGGACACATAAACAGGCACCCACATTCCCTTCGCCTGCCATGAAAATTCCAGATCTTGTGCCAATATGGTAAAAAAAGACTCAAAGTACAGATGTGTGTCTCACAGTTAAGGTGTCAGTAGCCATGTTCCTAATTCAG